TTGATCTCCTCCTATTTATCTGTCTTCATCTTCTTCTCTTTGTCTGTCTTAAACTTCTTTTCTTCATGTATCTTGATCTCCTCCTATTTATCTGTCTTCATCTTCTTCTCTTTGTCTGTCTTAAACTTCTTTTCTTCATGTATCTTGATCTCCTCCTATTTATCTGTCTTTATCTCCTTTTCTTTATCTATCTTGATCTCCTACTATTTATCTGTCTTCCTCTGCCTATCTAAATGTGTCTTCTCCTCTCTCTTTCTTCATTTCTCTCTCATTCTTTTCTCGGTCTTCTTCTCCCACTGTTTCTTTGTTTTTATCTCCCTGTCTCTGTCTCGCTCTGACTCTTTCTGTCACTCTTCTCATCTCTGTGTCTCCCTGGCGTTCTCTTTATTTATCCCCTCTCCTTTTGTCTTGCTTCCACTTTCTGTTTCTCTCCTTCTCTTTCCACTCTCTCTCTCTCTCTCTCTCTCTCTCTCTCTCTCTCTCTCTCTCTTTCTGTCTGTATGTGTGTGTGTTTCTCTTCCATCTGATCGTGCTTTCAACTAAAAGAGTAGACGACTGTCGTTTAATTTATACCTGCAGCGGTCGGGGCTCTCTCAGGCGGCGATGAGACAGCTGGCAGTCTCTCTCATGGGCCATTCATATTTCAGCATGCCTGATTTTTAATGTATGTCCATTTAAGGGAACGATAGTCAGATTGTTACCATTAGGACAATACACATAAACATTATACACAAAATCAAGTTAATAAGTATATATCGTGGAGATAGGAGAGGGGAAAAGGCGGCGGGGGAGGGGGTGGAATACGAGACAGAGAGATAAGGAGAGACAGACAGGAGGCATACTGACAGAGCCAAGGCGACTGAGACAGAAAGAGAGACACACAAATTGACTATTAGAAATATTTATCTTTAAAATGATAATTCATCCAATAACACGTTGCAAATTAATTAAACTGTAGTTCGATTTGTGTATAAATCTACTCGATAATAATGGTTACCACCTGACCGGCCACGCCAGCCTCACAAAAACGGGAATTTCCGTTAGAGCTGTAAGGCCGTATATCTGGAGCTGGACGCATAACGCGTTCTATTAACTTGTGGTCAGAACCACTGCCAGCTCCAGATTTATCGCAGCCGGACGTGTCAGAACACACTAAATAAATATGGCTCCCCCCCCCCCCCCCAAAAAAAAAAAAAAAAAAAAAAAAAAAAAAAAAAAAACTACCAGTGTGTATATTTCCACTTTGAAAGTAATGCATTCACGATTTCTCATCACAGTTATTTATTTACTTTGGAATCTCTTGTGAAACCTTCTTGTATCGAAATAGTTAAACTGTGATCAAAAGTGAACCCCACCGAACAGATCTTTTGTGTGCATTTGTCGATATATAGATCTTGCTGTCAATGGTCTCTGTTAGCAGATGTTATTGACAATAGCAGTCGTTCACAGACCTTACTGACAATGGCAGCCGTTCGCGCGAAAACAAGAAACTGATCCGTGCAGGAAACGCTTTGTTGGAACTCTTGCATGAGTGAGTTTAGCATTGATGTATTCAAACAACAGGCGGGGGTTCTGTGTTTGATCCTGCTGAGACAATTAAACCCTAGACAGGTATGCCCGGTGTACCACACGACATAAAACAGACTGATATAGAAGCTGCGCATGTACAAAGGTTTTTCTATGCTAGTTTCTTAGTGTTGCCTCTGCAAGGTAGGGCACGGTAAATAAGCAGACACACAAAAAAGGATATTGATCCGTGGTTTTAGCATATAATTTCTCCTGCCATTGGCTATTGACTGTTAATGACGTGTATTGTTTGTCATAATTCTGAAACGACAATTGGCATAACATAACCGTCTTTGTGTTGTTTCGTTACCATGGGTCTTCCCAAACACCCTAGGGGTGTCCAGTAGTTGATGTCTTGTCTAGGTAGCTTGAAATGCAGATTTTTTTTTTTTTTACGTTAGAGCAGACAGAGGGACGTTCTTATGTCTGTGGGAGCAGCTTTCGATGTCACGTGACCACTGTCAACTAATCAAGAGGTGGCCGGATGTTTAGTAGATCTGAGAGAAGTTGACACGGTCGTGCTGATAGACACAGTTTAGTTAAACATTGTTCATACTGACAAGTGGTGAATGGCGAATAGCGTGCACATCCTCAAATGGATATATCTCCATGTGTTTAGTTTTATAAAATTATCTGTTAGTTTAAACTGAGGATTTAGAAATTATTATTTAAATGTTCTTCAATTTCTTAGTGTGGGGCTACCTCTCTGGTAAGTCTTTTCCACGCCCCCCCCCCTCGTTTTGTCCATTATTCCACTGCGGAATAGATGGATATCTTAGGCTCGCTTCTAGTTTGACATGATTACCCACACACAGACATACATGCATATGTACGTGCACACCTATGGCGAAACGTGATAAATTTGCATGTGTAAACGTTAGCAGGCAACAATTGCACTTGAGAATGGTACCACGTGACACTTTCCTCCTCGTTTCTATGCTGCTGAGAGCATGCTTGCTCAGCTAGCACCATGATACAAGTAACTGGTAGCTTTTACGTGTTTAAAGTTTGTGAATGAGTAGCGTGAGCATGCTGTAAGTGTGTTTTTTTTTTTTTTTTTTGTTGTTGTTGCTATGTCCAAGACGGAAAACCGGGCGGCGTATTTGTAATAAATAGTAAACAGTAAAATAATATTTCTTTGGCAAAGGACAGCTGCGATTAGAGTCGTAACATGCACGATTCGCCACTGTCGAGCGCACACACACACACACACTCTCTCTCTCTCTCTCTCTCTCTCTTTCTTTCTCTCCCCCCCCCCTCTCTCTCTCTTTCTTTCTCTCTCTCCCTCTCTCTCCCTCTTCTTTCTCTCTCTCTCTCTCTCGTACATAAAAGTGTAGAGCAGCTTTCATTATTATCCTATTCATCTACTAATTCTCATCCCTCTTCTTCTTCTTCTTCTTCTTCTTCTTCTTCTTCTTCTTCTTCTTCTTCTTCTTCTTCTTCTTCTTCTTCTTCTTCTTCTTCTTCTTCTTCTTCCTCTTCTTCTTTTTCTTCTTCTTCTCCTCCTCCTCCTCCCCCTCCTTCTCTTCCTCCTCCTACTTCCACTTTATAATTTACGGAACTAAAGCCAGCACTAAAGCAAAAACCCGAAACTTCCGGGCAAACTGGCGGGACAGTGACTACAAGCCGTGCAGAAGGCAGACAGAGAAATCAACAAGTAACAGCTATTGAACAGAAAATAAATAAGCTTAAGTTGTATTAGACAGGTCGGATCTGTGGCTAAGTCGATGCGAACGCTTCCTAATGCCGGGGTGCTGGGTTCGATCCCAGCTGCGGGCCTTCCGCCTTGCGTTGGTTTCGACAGTGGCATTAAGAAAGCCGACCGTCCAGGGGCAATAGCAAACTACTGGACGTAAATTTGCCTAGAAAAACCACACAACAGCCAGGGACTGTTGGGGTTGGTTCTGCAACGTCCTGTAAAGGATACGCAACTAACTCATATTAGACAGAGAAAATTAAACACAGGCCTTGCGGCAAATATACCGATATGATGTCGTCTACTGGGGAAGGTTGGGGGGGGGGGGGGGTGAGGTTGCCACATTCAACTGAATAAATTGCCTGATTGCAGATTTGAAGGATTTTCAGATTACCAAAGCAAATCCTGCAAGCAATCCGCTGTGGTAGTTTGCCGGCGACCTTGTCCGAGTGACGACTGTATGCACAGGAACCATATTTTGTTGTGTGTTCTGTCTGTGTAGATGAGATATGTAGATGAGATCTCGTATTTGAAAAAAAAAAAAAAAAATTACACAGCACCTGGCCGGTTGTGTTCACAACGCGCATGTGTTGTGCGAGCAACGTTCTTCAACTTTTTTTACCCGCACGGACACGGAAATGAAATTTCTTAGATTGACAGGTAGTAAGGGCATATAAAAACATATAGATAGCATTTTATTTATTAAATCCAGTGTTATCGAATTGATAGTTTTACTAAATATGACATCTGCTGCTCAAAGGTAAGAAAATCTTATATACGTCGTAAAAGCATTGTTTCTAGGAAAACGCTGCCAAAACATTCGTTGGATTTCTCCGATTTAGCCGGTGTCAGCTGCATGTTTTGTTCACGGGTTGAAGAATATACTGTTACAAGTCTTTAAGACTGGGGACTGGTTGTTTCCTTCTGTCTAAGGGCTGTTTCCTTCTTGTATTTATTAATCTGAAAATGCCTGGAAATGTACTTGATTCCGTGTGCGATGTCTCCCTGGTACATTCTTGCGCCAAAAGTGTTATCCTAAGATTCAGAAACAGACCGTACCACGGAGACTTCCGTGAGGATGTACCCCCCCCCCCCTCAGAAAACCAACCCAAAGTGAAAAATCGGCGGTAGCTGGGATCGAAACCCGCACCCCGACTGCTGGGATCGAAACCCGTACCAAGACAACTTGGATCGAAACCCACACCCCGACAGCTGGGATCGAAACCCTCACCCCGGCAGCTGGGATCGAAACCCGTACCCCGACAGCTGGGATCGAAACCCGCACCCCGACAGCTGGGATGGAAACCCGCAACCCGACAGCTGGGATCGAAACCCGCACCCCGACAGCTGGGATCGAAACCCGCACCCCGACAGCTGGGATCTACCCTAGCACCTCGGCATTACGAAGCGCGTTTGCAACGCCTAACCTATAGATGCCGACCTGCCGCAATGAACGGGTCAGAAGTATGATGCTAAATGAATTTTGAAAGATCTAACAGCCTGTTCTTTCTACACCAACATGAAAGTGTTTTTTTTTTTAAACGTTGATTGTATGGTATTGAATTTAATTTTTTTTTCTATATCAATTGTGGTGTTTCTAGGCTAAGAGAGAATGTGTGATAACTTGGACTGTGGTGTCATGTTGTTTCTTGGAAAACTGTAAATAAATATCGGATTAAAAATAAACCAGTTGTGAACTCCTGATAAAGAAATATTACAATAGTGAATGAATATGAATATGAACCGAACAAGCGTAAGGTCACACGGAAGTACCAACACACAGAACACAAGCACAGACAAAGTGACTTTGGATCGGTCTGACTCTTCAGTTACTAAGGTAAATATATATATATGTGTGTGTGTGTGTTTGTGTGGGTGTGGGTGTGGGGGTGGGGGTGTGTGTGGGTGTGGGGGTGGTGGTGGTGGTGGGGGTGGTGGTGGTGGTGGTGGTCGTCGTGGTCGTGGTCGTTGTTGTTGTTGTTGTTAGTGAATCAGTGAAGATGTTTTGACATAAATTAACACACGAAAAGAACGGATTGTCTACACTAGAGGAAGACAGAATATTTTCTTTGGTCATGTCTTGAGAATATATTTTTTCCACGTGATGCTGGTGTGTTGGGAAACGAGCAGGCAGGTAGACTGATCGGTTCTGCGCCACCTAGTGGTGAATTTATGTATGACAAACTAGATGTTGTGAGGGCCCTTTGGGAGAGAGTAAACAGTGCGGAGGCACAAATAGATCATTACGGTCTGAAGAGAATGGCGCTGTGAGGAGTTGCCAGGGAATCTGGCCGACGCTCAACACTCAAGGGAAAGACGAGACGGATGTACAATCAGACAGTTACTGGTGCCATCGGAATTAGAAATCTGCGGGGTATTTGGAGCGCCGACCGCAATGGCAAACTACTGAATATAGAACCGATTAATAAAAAGGTACAAACAGTGAAACGATGGGGGTTAGTTTGCTACAACATGTTTGTTGGCACCTTTCCGTCTTTCCAGACGATAGTGTTATATTGTTCGATGAGGAGGCATGAGACTCACATCCCATGGATATGGCGAGTGTGACTAGCAAGACCCACCTGCGTTAAAAAGAGTCTTCTTTAATTAGAGCATGGGATTTTAGGACCATTGTTGCCATCAGATGTGTTTTTGTCTATTTCTTCTTAGACGCTCAGCTTTAATCTTTTCTGCAATCCTTTCTTCCTTTATTCTCATTTCCTTCCTTATGTACCTCTTCCACACAACACGGTCCATAGAATGTTGTTCCCATAAGTCCACCTCAGTTTTTTTAAAAAGGCCCCATTTTCCATGCCTTTAGGCGTAAAGGGCATATAGGGCTAGACCTATATTTTTATAGACCAAACGGCATAAGATGGGAGATGTGGTCAGCATCACACCGGCCGCCTTTACTTTCAGAGACTGCACCCGGTACCCACTCAAGGCTGGGTCGCCCTGGGAGCCAAGGTCATTTTTGAAAAAAAGTCCGGCTCCGCCAGGAAGCGAACCCACGATCTTCCGATCCACATGCGAGCGTCTAGCCGCTACGCCACGGTGACTCTCAGACTACCTCAGTACCTGTATCATTCATGTCTCGCTTGCAGACATCTTTATATCGCAGTAGAGGTCGGCTTCAATATCTTTAACCCAACTTTAATTCACTAAAGAGGATGTCCTTATGGACATTCTCCAGGTGTGACCAGCCATCTGGACCTTCGTAGACTTAGCAATGAGAAGACTGTTGTTGTATGTGCTCTTTCCAATTCATCAGTGTTTGTGATCTTATCCTGCCACTTAATGCCAAGTATTTTTCTTAGGCATCGCATGTGAAAGCCTTTTAGCCGTCTCTCCTAGTGCGAATAAATTTCATTGCCATTTATTTTATCTACAAAGGGGGACTTGTGGTCTCAAGGCATGGTGTCCACCTCAAGTGCTAGAGGCCCTAGGTTCAGGCCTCGGTGAGGGCTGAGATTTGTTCACGTGGACTTCTAGTAATTTCCTCTGGTCTCTGGGTAGTGAGATCTGACGCCTGTGTGTATTATTACGCGCGTAAAAAAAATCCCTTGGCAGTTGTAAATCGAAAAGAGTAGCCTAACGGCGCTGCCCGAGCAAAAATTTGGAGTTAAAAATCTACCCAAAGTATTTCAGCATCCTCGCCGGTGCTACTTAGCTTGTGCACTGTGCTGAGCTTCTTCGAACTCAAGACTTGAGAGAAGTAGAGCGGAGTACTTATGGGTTACTACCAGTGTGCTATGATGTTGATCTGTTGTTTAAACCTCAAACCTTCACCTACGAAGGGTACGAAATTAAAGTTAACTTTATTTTTATTGTTGAACGTTCACGTCTCCAGTTGTGTGACCTGCACGTGTACAAGGTGCCCCCGGAGCTGTGGCGAGACAACCTTAACAATGTCCTCAACAATGCCATCACAGAAACAGTTTCTGTAGGCATCATCAGGTACTAGACTGACATCATCAGGTACTAGACTGACATCATCAGGTACTAGACTGACATCATCTGGTACTAGACTGTCATCATCGGTTACTAGTCTGACATCATCAGGTACTAGACTGACATCATCAGGTACTAAACGAACATAGAGTCCGATTTTCGTTCCTCAATTTTGTTTTTTGATGGCCTTTGGATCGACAGCCCAAAATGTGTACCAGGTAATGTCCTAGGAAGTAAAGGTGGCCGGCGTTTTGCTGACATCATGCACAGAGTGGTGACTGATGTTAAAACTATGAGGGTACCACCATGGCTGTTTTGAAAAAGTTTGTTTACTCTTATGTTAACTACTGTAATATCGCCAGGGACAATTCTTACGAGCTTAGTGTACACACGTCTGTCTGTCTGTCTGTCTGTCTGTCTGTCTGTCTGTCTGTCTGTCTGTCTGTCTGTCTGTCTGTCTGTCTGTCTGTCTGTCTGTCTGTCTGTCTGTCTGTCTGTCTGTCTGTCTGTCTGTCTGTCTGTCTGTCTGTCTGTCTGTCTGTCTGTCTGTCTGTCTGCCCTGTCTGTCTGCCCTGTCTGTCTGCCCTGTCTGTCTGCCCTGTCTGTCTGCCCTGTCTGTCTGTCTGTCTGTCTGTCTGTCTGTCTGTCTGTCTGTCTGTCTGTCTGTCTGTCTGTCTGTCTGTCTTTACACATGCTTACCTGCATTTCATGCAGGTTAAATTTTATGGGTTTAGCCGGTTGTCGTGTCATAATCGTAACCTCTTTGGAGGCTAAACAGGATAGTGATGGTCTACCCTCTTGACCTGCCGTCAAAACTTAGATGTGTACATTTCTGGAGGGTATGGTAAACCTTTAGGAAACAGCTTGGAGGCGACACATTGATCACACATTGATCGATCGATCGATGGATTGTCTTTGAAGTTTTTTAAACCTAGACGGGATAGATCAACAAGTTTAAAATAAAGAAAAGAAGTAAAAGCCCTTTACATGACAGTTGAGTGTCGAATTTATGATTTTTGTTTCTTAGTGGGGGACTCTTTTCCGCATTTTTAGACCTTTTAGACCAAGAATTGATTAGACAAATGACTAGACTTATGTTGTGTAGACCTTCGGCACTAGTGGGTGACAAGGTCAACATCCCACCGGCCGCTTTTACTTCTCATGACTGTATCTGGTACTCAATCAAAACTGGGTTGACGTACGTAAAAAGGGGGGGGGGGCAAGGTCTTTTTTTTTAAAGACCCTAGAGTGTGGTTCCGGCGCCCCTTGTTGGGGAAACAAGAATAGACCCAGTGTTTTTCTAACAAGCATGTCGTAAGAGTCGACTAATTGGGGGCTACCTTTGATTTCAGAGTGCACCTGCCTGAGAGGCAGTGAACCAACAGTCTGCATAAAGAAAAGTCAGATCTGTAAAACGGATGTGCATGCAACACTCAAGTACCAAAGTCCAGAGGTGGACGAACAACCATAACTTTCCGCTGGAGTTTACAGCCAGTGGACATGAAAAAGAGGAAGAAAAACGCACAGCGTCCTCCAGGACCCAAACCTACAACCTTCTGACCCACAGACGAGCGACTGACCGCTACACCTCGGTGGGCCCCTGGTATATAATGCTAGCCTTGTATAGAGCAATCAAGCTGCTGATGTGGCCAACACCATCCTCCTCCCAGCATCCCCAAATGTTCTCTTTGTGTCGACCCCCTTGTTGTTGACCATCTGGTTGGACATGCCCAGGGTGCCCGAGGAGCTACGCCTGGCAGAGCTGAGGGACGAGGTGAAGCAGCAGTTGACCATCCGGGGAGTGGACCTTGTGCCCAGGGAGTTTGTCTTTCTGAGGAGCGTCGGACGTAGCCTGACTACGGTACGTAGATTTTAGTTTCATTATCTGACGTCTTCGATGCCAAAATGTTTCGGTTTCAGTAATACAAGTGTTTCCTCTACAGATTGACATTTTGTAGGATTAATACCCCAAGGAGGGTGAGCAGACGTGGCGTAGCGACTAAAGCTCTTGGAAGCTCGCCTTCGGATCGGAAGGTCGTAGATTCAGGTGCACCCAGCATTGAGTGGGGACCAGGTATAGTCATGGGACGTAAACTCGGTCGGCGTGATGTTGCCCCTATCACCAACAGTGCCAAGTGGAATTAGCAAAGGAGTGAGAGAAATCAGCAAAAATATGCACATATGAAATTTAAAGAGGAGAAAACGATACAGAAGATAGGAAAGTAAGAGAGACGATTAACGGAGAGATTTTGAAGATACGAAAGTTGGAGAGATAATTAAGGGGTCACTACACTGCATTTTTCCCAATTTATGACAAAAATATCACTTTTTCAATGTGTTCGTTTTTGTAAAGTTCGGCATTCGTAGAATAGATGACACACAAAATTTATGTCATTTGTATACAGTTTAGCATTGAAAAGTTAATACTAACGACACCACCTCGTGCACTTTTTTTAAGATAAAAAAAAAGTTTAAAAGTCAGTTTTCTCAAATCTCTATATTTCAGTTGGATGTGTGTGTGAAATCCTAAAATCTATAGTAATTTAAAGAGTAGAAACATGAAATTGTGTATGCATACTCCATACACAATATTATAGGGACTGGTCTATCTAAAAGTAGATTTTAGAAAGTTTTTGTTTTCTAAAATTTGATTACTGTCTTATGATGCTAGATTTTTTTTTTAAATTTCAATAAACCTACATTTTAAAATTCTACGAAAAATATTTAAAAACATGTTTAAAGTAAATAAACTAGACCTGTACCTCTAAGTAGAATAAAAGGTCATGGATCCATCATCTATTGTTGAATACCTATGTTTGTTTTTAACATTTTAGGATTCTAAGTACATATTGTTTTTTTCACAAGATGGCGGCTATTGCCATGACAACTATGGTTTTTTAACACTTAAAGTATACAAATGTAATAAAATGTATCCCTACAAATGACCATCATAAAATAACTGCTCTAAGTCTGTAAATAAAAAAATAAAATATTTTGGTGTAGTGACCCCCTTAACGAAGAGATCTGCAACTGGAAGGCTGGTACATATGACAGTAATGCAGTCTTGCAGAGATTGTTTCGTTGAATATGATATGCGAAGTTCACTTTTTGAATACTTATGTACACGTCAGCATACACCGAGAAACTCAGTGAGACACTTGCAGACATTGAGTCACCAGCAGACACTGAGACACCAGCAGACATTAGGACACCTGTAGATATTAAGACACGTGTAGACATTAGAACATTTACAGACACTCAGAAGCATGCAGACACCGAAACATCTGCAGACATTAGGACATCTGCAGACATTAGGACATCTGCAGACACAGAGACACCAATGAGACACATAAGGACATTAAGACACTTGCATACATTGAGAAACCTGCAGACATTAACACACCTGCTGACATTAAGACACCTGCTGACATTAAGACACCTGCTGACATTAAGACACCTGCTGACATTAAGACACCTGCAGACCCAGAGACACATGCGGACACTAGGACACCTGCTGCATACCCGGAGACACCAACATACATTAAGACACCTGCAGACGTAAGGACACCTGCAGACATCTGCATACACGGAGACACAGACACGAGCAGACACAGAGATACAGAAACTGCGACACCTCCCGACACTAAGGCACAAGCAGTCAAACGTGTCCAACTGTTTATCTCTCCCCCAGCTGCGAGGAAAGCAAGAACAGCAACTGAAGGCCAAGCACTTCCTACCGCCAGTGGTTAGTCTCCCTACGACTCTTCATAGACGACTTAAAGTATTTTTTTTAAAGAAAAAATGTGACTGAGAGAAGAGATCGAATGACAAAGAGAGAAAGAATAAATAATTAGAAAGAGAGAGAACGAAGAGAGAATGAGAGAGACAGAGGATCGAGAATGATAGAGAGCCAAGATAGAATGAGATAGGAGAGAGAATGAGAGAGGGGTGAGAGAGAATGAGCTAAATGAGGCGGGAAACGAAAGAGAGTGAGAAAAAGAGAGATACAGTAATACTAAGGAAGAGAGGGACCAAGAACAAGCGAGAGAGGGAGGCGGAGATACAGAACGAGCGAGTAAGAATGAGGGAGAGAGTACTGGCGACATAGTGACAGAGAGATTGGGAGGAGAGGGTGAATGTGAAAGTGTGCATGTAAGTCTACAAGTCTTCCGTGTATGTAAGTGTATAAGTCTTTTGTGTATGTGAGTGTACAAGTCTTCCATGTGCGTAAGTGTACAAGTCTTTCGTGTACGTAAGTGTACACGTCTTCTGTGTATGTAAGTGTACAAGTCTTCTGTGCGTGTAACTGTACAAGTCGTCCGTGTATGTAAGTGTACTAGTGTTCCGTGTACGCAAGTATACAAGTCTTTCGTGTATGTAAGTGTACAAGTCTTTCGTGTATGTAAGTGTACAAGTCTTCTAGGTATGTAAGTGTATAAGTCCTCCGTGTATGTAAGTGTACAAGTCTTCCGTGTATGTAAGTGTACAAGTCTTCCGTGTATGTAAGTGTACAAGTCTTCTGAGTATGTAAGTGTACAAGTCTTACGTAAATGTAAGTGTACACGTCTTCCGTGTATGTGAGCTTACAAGTGTTCCGAGTATGTAAGTGTACAAGTCTTCCGTGTATGTAAGTGTACAAGTCTTCCGAGTATGTAAGTGTACAAGTCTTACGTGTATGTAAGTGTACACGTCTTCCGTGTATGTGAGCTTACAAGTCTTTCGAGTATGTAGGTGTACAAGTCTGCCGTGTATGTGAGCTTACAAGTCTTTCGTATATGTAAGTGTATAAGTCTTCCGTGTATGTAAACGAATAAATCTTCTGTGTGTGTAAGTGTACACGTCTTCCGTGTAAGTGATCTTACAAGTGTTCCGAGTATGTAGGTGTTCAAGTCTGTCGTGTATGTAAATATACAAGTCTTCCGTGTATGTAAGTATACAAGTCTTCCGTGTATGTAAGTTTACACGTCTTCCGTGTATGTAAGTTTACACGTCTTCCGTGTATGTAAGTTTACACGTCTTCCGTGTATGTAAGTTTACACGTCTTCCGTGTATGTAAGCGTACAAGTCTCCCATATGTCCTTCTCCTTTAGGCTGTTGTCCCAGAACTCTACATTCTAGAGGTGACACCGGACATCAGAGAGGCTCTAGCAAATAGTGACGCTTTTTCGTCGCCTCTCTCACAGAGGGCATCGCCTTCACACACAGCTCTCCCAGCTTCTCACTGCAGCGGATATAGGGGTGAGTATGTGTCTTGTAGCTCTCTTAGATACCAACCGTGAGAACAGCCTGTAGTGACGTCAGACACCAACTGTGAGAGCAGCCTATAGTGACGTCAGATACTAACTGTGAGAGCAGCCTATAGTGACGTCAGACACTAACTGTGAGAACAGCCTGTAGTGACGTCAGACACCAACTGTAACCACAGCCTGTAGTGACCTCAGACACTAACTGTGAGAACGGCCAACAATTTTACGTTCAGTGGTTTGTCGTTGAGTCCTGTACGGTATACATTATAGTCGTCACAATCCCTCTTTTGACAGTGTCAAGTAACTAGACGATTTAATCTTGTCTGTCGAAGATCACAGCCTTTCCTTGAATTTAAAGAAAACAAAAATAATTGATGCAGACAAACTTAGATGTCACCCATCAAAAACGATGATGTAGAAATTCAAAATCTCACATACTTTGAACAACTATGGTCCATAATCAACAACAGTGGAGGCTGACGAAAAGAAGTTGAAAGGGAAGGCCATGGCACTAAAACGACTGAACAGCGTTTAAATTTTGTTGGCCAAGCTCCAGCCAGCAAATTAGAGTCACAATTTTGAGAGCATGCATCTTTCATTCAGCTACATTCAGATATGAGTCTATTTTGAGCTCAAAGGCTACATAAAGATTCTCAGAAAAGCAGGGACGAAGAAGGAAAAAAATACTGACATCTTAACTGACATCTTAAAAGATCTCAGTACAAGGAACCTTGGCTCGTAAACAGGGTTTTGTCCTAGACACTGGAATACTTCGACCATATCGCACATCGAGGTGGAGTGGAAAGAACCGTAGCGGACATCGTGGTACCGACTAAGAGGGACAGGTGTCAACCATCATGAAAATGGGGACAGGATATAAAGGAACACCTTGGACTGGAGAGGGCATGAGTCCAGAGCTGGGGAGTGACCCACTTTCTTTAAGGTGGACTGTGATGGGAGCAACGTTCTGTAAATATCCTGCTACATGATGACAATGATGATACCCTGCTACCTTTGCCCAAATTAACGAAAAGCCGTCTACAACTACCAAATCACCTACACTTGATTTAGGACCATGATGTGTCGGGTGTGTGAAACAGTGTGTACAACACCAATGCGCAAAAGTCAACAAATTACAGTCTACAATAATACTACAAACAACATATTCCCACCGACGCTGTGCTATCAGTGTCAGACATAGCCATTATCAAAGGTTAACCTTCGTAAAATTAACACCTGTGAAATGAGATGCATGAAGAAAAAAAAAACGCAAACTTAACCATCCGAGACAACGTTAGAAATGATATTGTCAAACAGACTCTATGAACAACACCATGCAGCAAATGTATTGAGAAACGAAAGATCAAGGAAGAACGCAGTCAGAACAACTACCAACATATGCGCTACAAATGAAGAGATCTGATGTGAAAGCAAGAGGTCTTCCTAGGCTAACATGGACTGACGACATTAAAGAGCTTCTACACCGACACGGAGTGACAGTAACCAGGAAGCCCATCAAGCAGTGGATAGCAAACTGTTCCTCCCCACAACTTCTAACGGCAAAAATTAGAAAATGATGATGATGATGGATACTTTATAAACAAACAACGTCTGACACAAAGAAATTCTAAACTTCTTTCTTCTAATTTACAAAATGGCTGCTTGTTCCATGGTGGATGGTAACGACTGCCACTGGTGGATAATGTGGAAGGTTTGTAGATGTATACTGACTTCCATCTTACATGTTGCCTAGATAATGTGTAGCGAACAGTTGTAGTCAATGACATGAAAGAACTTTGTGTTGTTGCATTTGCTTGGCCTTATGTTTTTAAACATTTACTTTTACTTTATGATTTTGTGTCGTTGCCGTTTGCGTTACTTTTTTTACCTTTTAGTTTTGTGCCATTGCCATTTGTTTGGTTTTATGTTTTTAACCGTTCACTTTTTTACTTTATCGTTTTGTGTCGTTGCCATTTGCTTGGCCTTATGTTTTCAACCGTTCACTTTTTACTTTCTAGGTTTTTTTGTTTTGTTTTTGTCGTTGCCATTTGCCCCTCCCCCCCCCCCCCCTCTTTTTCTCTATATTTCTTTTTTTGTTTAGTTAATCATAGAAAATGTCTAAGGCGGGTACCAGATGTGAGTTTTTTGTTTACCAGCTGTCGTATCCCAGCATCCACTACAGCTGCCTGTATTTCTTCCTGGTTCCTGTAGGCACGTGATTTTCAAACGTTGAAACATATATATATTTCTGTCATAGGCTAAACGCAACTTCACTCACCCTCGTTGTTTTAGCACGAGATGAGGTCGAATCAGGGTTTAAGCACATGTTTTTCAGCACAATGCGAGTACGCGTGCATTTTTAAGCACGTATGTTTGAGCATAAAACACTTGCACGCATACGAGTCAAAGTTTGAGCACAATATAAATACGAGTCAATGTTTTCCACTTTCAGCACAATGTTAGCGCAAGTTTGTAAGTGAGCGCAAACTGAATGCGGGTCAGCTACAAAATGAGCATAGTATTAACGGGCGCCGTCCGTAGCTTAGGTGTTGTGAGTCTGACTCCTAATTCCAACATATCGCGACCGAAACTTACTGCTGGCTGCGTGGGTTTCTATCATGGTATGGGGCGTCGCAGGTCGACCCAGCCTAAAATAGGTACCAGGATATAGGTCCCATCCCTGGCGGAGACGGACTTTCCTTCAAAAATGACCTTGGCTCCCAGGTCGACCCAGCCTTGAGTGGGTACCGGGTGCAATCCCGGGAAGTAGAGGCGGCCGGCGTGATGCTGACCACATCACCCATCTTGTGCCGTTGGTCTATAAAAATATAGGTCTAGCCCTATATGCCCTATACGCCTAAAGGCGTGGAAAGGGTCCTTTACTTTATTTTTACTTTTATAGGTCCCAGGGAAGTAAAGACTGCCGGCGTAGTGCTGGCCTCATTAGCCACCTAGTACTGATTGGTATGTAAGAAAATGGGTTCTCTTCCCATGTGCCCAATGCGCTTAAAGGCGTGAAAATTGATCTTTACTATAGCATGAACAATAGTCAGTGTCTGAGCATAATGTGAGTGCTTGTCAATTTTTGAGCACAATGTGAGTGCTTGTCAATGTTTGAGCACAATATGAGTGCTTGTCAATGTTTGAGCACAATGTGTGTGCTTATCAATGTTTCAGCACAATGTGAGTGCTTGTCAATGTTTGAGCACAATGTGAGTGCTTGTCAATGTTTGAGCACAATGCACGTGGGAACTTATGTTTGAGCACAGTATGAGTGTGTTTCAATGTTCGAGCACAGTATAAGTGAAAGGTAATATTTGAGCACAGTGGGAGTGGGGTCAATGTTTGAGCACAATAGGAATAGGAGTCAGTGTTTGAGCACAATAGGAATAGGAGTCAGTGTTTGAGCACAATAGGAATAGGAGTCAGTGTTTGAGCACAATTTGACTGCTAGTCAAAGTTTAGTAGATTAAACAAATTACGAACTGCCTTTCAGTTTAAACGGCACTTTCAATTATAGTTCTTTCAAAAGATGTGACAAAATTGATTAATCTGTAACTCAGTAACCAGTCGGTTCTAGATTTGAGTTTTTGAACAACATATCAACATCATGGCACACGGTAGTAACCCATTAGTGCTCTGTTCTTCTTCTAACTCAAATCTGAGTCTGAAGAAGCTCAGCACAGTGCACAGGCTCTGTAGCACCGGCGAGGACCATGAAATACTTTGGGCAGATTTTTAACTCAAATTTGTCCCGGCAGCGCCTTTAATTAAAAAAAATAATTAAATGTAAACAAACACCTAGTGAATATTCTATTTCGGGGGGGGGGGGGAGGGGGAGGGGGTACACACAGTATTAGTCCCACAAATATCAAAGCAATTTGCCGCTTTAGGATAACAGCAGTACCTGTGCAATCGTAAATTATAAAATAGTTAGGATATGGGAAATCTAAAACCATAGGCAAAAATGTATGTTGATCCGTAGAGAAGTTTTTCGAGATATTTGTTTAAGTTTGAGGGCAGAAAATTTTGGAACGGACTGTAGAAGTAACGATTTTCGCCTGTAAGAAAGATCATTCTTGCTTTTAAACTCGTTCAGTTCTAAGCAATTGTTGCTTAATCTTGTTATATTTTGTTGGGAAAAAAATGCATTGCGTAAAAAAATAAAAAAAAAAAAAAAAACAGCTTCATGGTAGAAAGGGTTGAATGGTTTTATATAAAAGAAGAATGAAACAGAACAAATTAGGAAACGAGTACAGCACACAGAGTTATAAAACCCATGGTAAATTGATAAGTGTTGAAAGAGCTAACTATTTCGTTTGTTTAATTATATCATGCCTTTTGTCTGTTTAATTATATCATGCCTTTTGTCTGTTTAATTATATCATGCCTTTTGTCTGTTTAATTATATCATGCCTTTTGTCTGTTTAATTATATCATGCCTTTTGTCTGTTTAATTATATCATGCCTTTTGTCTGTTTAATTATATCATGCCTTTTGTCTGTTTAATTATATCATGCCTTTTGTCTGTTTAATTATATCATGCCTTTCGTCTGTTTAATTAAATCATGCCCTTGGTTTGTTCAATTCTGTCATGCTTGGAAGCATCAAATCGTTTGTAATGAAGCCATTTTTGATTGTGGAACTAAGAAAACCAGGGCGCCCAAGAGAAACACTTCAGCAAACGTTGATGAGAGAGGACGCAAGTGCTGGACCGGATTCCGTTCATGAATTCGAAGGGATTACACAGGATAGATGGGGGTGTGAAAATGACCACATAATGTCACAATAGGACAGTTGTGATGATGAGGATGATGAGGATGAGGATGATTACACGGGGATGGTTTCATTTAAGCATGCTTTGTACTTAGTCCTCGTTGTTAATTTAAAAACAAATCACCATACAAAGACAGATAATAATAAGATCTTTCTCTCCAACGGGAAAACAAAAGGGCTCGACAGAGGGGAAGAGGGAAAGATGCAGACCATACTTGGATACAGAACTTGGCTGATTGGACATGCTTTGAACACAAAGGACTGCATCTGAGTCGCAGAGGTTCGGGTGAGGTGGTGGGGTGGGGTGGGTGGGTGGGGGGGGGGCTGATTCAACAGTCAACAGCATCTGGGATGATGACCGACTAGGAAAACGCTCACACGAACAGACCGGTGACGGATACACACATATATGCGTGCTCTGACACACTGTCTGACAGACAGACAAACACATGCGCGTTCGCACACACACATACACACACACTGACAGACACACACATACATGCGCGCTCGCACACACACATACACACACACTCACAGACATGCACACACATGCACGCTCACACACACACATACACACACTCACAGACATGCACACACATGCACGCTCACACACACACACGGACAGACACACACTCACACATTAGCAGGTAAGTGAAGTACAGAACCCTTTCCACGCCTTTAGGGGATTTGGGCATATAGGGCTAGATCTATATTTTATATACCAGTCTACAGTAGCATGTAGTTGATGTTACATATGTTTGTATCCCCAGGTGATTGCAACAGCCTTCACATTCACAGGCCCCAGCATTCTGTCCTCTCGTCCAGATTTGGGCACAAACCCACGCCTCAAGCGATCAGGTCTATGGACACATCTACCCAAGTATTCAGTTATAATTCTTTATTTCAGTCTCTTCCTAACAATCCTAACTTTAGCAAATCTTTACACCACCATAGTACTCCGTACAGTGCACACAATAGCAATCCATACATCGATAACAATACAAACAACGATATTTACTGGTATAGCACAGTTGTTGAGAGCCCCGGCAAAGACAAGCGAGAATTTAGCAATTACCGGTCTGTAAGGGGTTGGCCAAGACAATCGGAGCACGGAAATGCCATCAACAGGTCTGGCAGGCATCTTCCTCGCATTCACACAATAGATACGTACCACAAACAAGTCCCTCACATACGCACGCCCCACAAACAAGTCCCTCACAAATACACCACACACAGGTCCCACAAACAGCTCCCTCACGCACGCAGTCCAGATGTGTCCATCGATAAACTTCAGCGTTGGTCAGCAGGAACCGACCGAGACGACAGCCCGGATGGGTCCAACAATGGAGACTTGTCACAAGATGACCAGTACGGCAGACGTCATAAAGGTCAAGATGGCGGCAGGTCAAGGTGAGGGTTTGTATGCAAATTATGTTTATTTCTATAAATTCCGAAGTGAATCTACAATCACGTAGCTAACCGACATACAGCACTAGGGATATCCCCACAAGTGCCCCGTCTCCATCTTCAGCAGCCATCGCAAAATAAAAAGATTTTTCTATGAAATTTGCTGTTAACAGGAATCGTCGCCGAAGCCACGGAGTAGTTCTGTGCTCTATACCTTTTCTTATTCTTTCTTCTTCTATTCTCTACTCCAGGAATGCCTCGCAGCGTCAGGGCAGGAAGATATCTCTGAAACGGGCTCTTCAGTTCGACTCGTATAAAATACTCTTCAGTGTCTCTGATATTTCTGCGGTTTATGTTCTACATGGTCGACCTCTGTTACCGATGTATCTGTATAACATTGCTCTCTGTGGTGCCCTGTCTGATGCCAATCTTGTTACATGGCCAAACCATTTGATTTGTTGTCTACCTATAAAGTTCAGTATTCTTTCTGTGCCGACTCTCCTCCCGATATCATCGTTCTTAAGTCGATCTTTCCTCGTCACACTTAGCATAGTAAGTAAGCATTTCATTTTTGCCATGCTTATATTCCTTCTGTCTTCTGAAGACAGTGTCCAAGTCTGACACTGATATCATAGCGTTAGTCAGAATATTGTGTGTTCATATTCACATGCTTGCATCTCATTATATATATATTTCTAGACCTTCTTCCACAATTTTAATTTTGAATGTAGTACGGCTCCCTAGCTTAGAGGTTAGTGAATGTGGTTAACAGTTTCATGAAACTCGAATACCAGGGCTCGTTGGTCGAAAAAAAAACATTCTTAAAGTTTTCGGAAGATGGTAATAGAGTCCCTTCCTAGAGATTGTGGCCTCGTTACTGAGGAGAATGTACCAGTCAGCATAGGACTGGCACTATTAACCGCCCGAGGCTGATGAATATGTTGAAGGGGGAATCTGAGCACCTATGGATGTGTCCGGAGTGCTGTGAAGATAATCCAGCTCATTACTCAATGTACCAGTGGCCAAGAACTTTTGTGGTGCTGTGTCGGTGATGGTTCTTCCTGTCAACAACTGTTACTGGAGATGAAACTTGAATTCACTACCACAAACTGGACATTTTCGTTCAACTATGGAGTTCGTGCTTCATGCAACACTCTCGGGAGACAGCTAACCGTTCTGAGTAGAGAGACCGAGCTATTTTAGAGAACAGTGTGTTGTCGTTCGTCAATCACGAGCGATGAAGACTACTTTTGATCCAAAGAAGTAATGATCAAAGATTATAAGTATCAAGGTGGCTGATTAGTCCAACATGAGCCGGTAAGTTCTTGAGCAGTGTGGGCAACAGATAGAAGCCTCAGTAAGTGTGGGAGTGGGATTAGCGTTAGGGTTCTTTTTAGTCTGCCTCCGTTTCTCTGCCTGTGCAACCTCCGCTGCCTGGCAGGCTGATGCACCATGCCCAAGGGATGTACGCCATCCAACAAAGTCCTGTGCAGTCAGCCTCCCATGTCGCTGTATTGATGCAAAAATAATTGAGAGCAGATTTGAGAGTGTCCTTATAGCGCTAGATAACAGGGTGCAATGAAGTCGATCGTCTCGATTTTTAAACTTAACGTGTGCTTGCAGACTTACCGGCAACTAAAACTTTTGGTTTTGAATTATTTTCCTACAGGCGGGCCAAGGGGAACCACTCTGACAGAATCAGTTCGGAGAGCGACAGTGAAGAGGAACCGGAAAGACGAAAAGGCCATAAAGGCAACAGAAACACAGGGAAACCTTATCAGAAACATTCAGACGAAGTAATTGATGTTATTTGCTTGCTTGCTTAGTTGTCGTTCCAAGTGGTGTCGTAACAGTGTCTGTAAGTAAAAGATGCTTTCCACGTCTTCAAGCGTATTGGGGAAAAAGAGCCCGACCTAATTTTTTTTTTCAAGTATCCAGAAACCATGAGCTGTAAAACCTTGCCCTCAGTACTATGGATATCGCAACCCTTCGGCCTTGATTCCATCATAGATACCGTAAATTTGGGAGAAATGTGGCTTTTCTGCCTACCCCTGGACGTAAACCAGGTCCACAAGGAGTTCATCATTCGGTCGCCACGCAAAAGGGTTTTAACCAACTGAGCTAGCGAGCCTGGATGCTCGACCTATATTTTATAGTTCAATCAGCAGTCAGTGAGTGATGTCAACATCACGAAAGCCGCCTTTACTTCAGCAGACTCTGTCTGGTGCCCATTTAAGGCTGGGTCGGCCTGGAAGCCAGGGTCACTTTTTATCAAGTCTAGCTCTGTTAGGACCTGAACCTGATTTTCCTAATGCTGGTTGCGAGGCTCCATTTTGGAGAACAGTGAATAAACCCTCTGCCCCCCCCTCCCGTTTCCTAAAGCGTGACGTATGAGGCTACTTATTAGACGTGTTCCTTTTAAAGTCGCAGTGCACTTGCCTGGGTGACAAGGAATCAGCTGTCTACATAAATATACGCCATATCTGTCAACAAATGTGCATGGAAAACTCAAGTTCTGGATCATGGCCAAAGTTCAAAAGGGAATGAACAACCAGAACTTTGTGCCTGAGTTTACAGCCGGTAAATGTTGAGGAAAGAAGAAAATTAATTTTCTGGAACAAGACCCATCTCTCTTTGTGTTTCAGGCGTCCTTGTTTATTTTTTGCTGTAATCTCTATGGTGCCTTGTCTGCTGCCAATCTTATTACATGGCCAAACCATTTGATTTGTTGTCTACCAATAAAGCTCAGTATCGGTTCTATGCCGACACTCCTCCATTCTGATTAAGATGCAGTAAATGCAATGTTTTTATATCTTTAAAAAAAAAATGTGTTTAGGCTTTCATTCAAATGCGATAATCATCGGATACTTTGTTTACAGCGTACTGTATTTAGGTAAATACATTTTGGGTCCCATTGTGGAGGAAAACAAGAATAGACCCTCTGCCCACACCAAGCATGCCGTAAGAGTCGACTAATTGGGGGTTTCCTTCAAAGTCGGTGTGCATCTTCCTGACAGGCAAGGAACCAAAAAAGTCTGCAAACACATAAGCAAGATCTGTAAAACGGATGCACACGCGAAACTCTCGTCCAGGAACAAAGGCAAAGTTCAGAAATGGACGAACAACCAGGTCTTTCCGTCGGGGTTTACAGCCGGTAAACGCAAACAACAACAATTTTAAATTTTGAGCTTGTTGACCATGGAGCAGACTAATTTCCTTGGAACTCGAACGATTTGGAATTTGATCGCTGAACAGATTCTGTTCGAATTCTGAGGTACTACTGTACAGTTATGTTCAACAGCAAAGGAATAATTAATTATTGTCTTTCTGCAGGATGAACGGGGACTATCCTCGGATGAAGAAACTGCAACCAGTGACAGAAGACAGATACCTGGACATGAAAGTAGGTCATGGCCTCATTGTTCTAAACCAGCGGTTCTCAACATGTGAGTCGTGACCCCTTTGGGTGATCCCCTGGGTACCAGTTTTTTAATGGAAAGTAAAATCGACCGGCATATTGCCGCCGAGTGCCTGTTGATCTAAACAAAATACGAGTCTAGTATAACAAGTCTCGCTGTGCCTTCCCGTGGCTAGAGCCAATCAGGGGACGGCCGGGAACACATCGGAAAAACAGGGGACTGTTAGAGTGAACACGGAACATAGCCCGGGGTGGTGACGTCACGTCAAGCTGATGACGTCACGTCAAGCTGATGACGTCAGCAGCTAGGCCTTCCCTACCGACGGCCCCGGCCTGACCTGGTGGTGAACGCTCTGCCACAGAAGTCAAGCCGTTTTAAAACTTTCTACTTTACTCATCATAAACTTACTCGACTGACCACCATACATCTCACTGTAATGGAGTTTCGCTGAGGAAGTCTCGTCTGCTAGGAATTAGTAAATGTTTGGGCCAGGACACTCTAGATTAAGAGGGAATGAACGAGCGGACTGGCTTGCTGGCAGGGCCACGATAGGTACAGGAAAAGCGATGGACCGGGCCGACATTCTCAGTGCTCTCAAGGCAAGACGAGAAGATGATTCAGGAGACGACGTTGAATCGGCAACACTCATAAAGACTAGGAGAACCTCAGGTCC